CTGACTACAAGGCAATGCCAGTGTAGGCATCCTCTCTACTGTTGCTTAGGGTCTTAGCTGGGGTAATTGTTGTGGATTCCTGGGTATTTCTCTAGAGCTAGTTATCTTTCTAGCCCCATAATGGCTCCCTCAATTAAGCTATCTCCTTGTTTTCCATCTCTGTCCTCCCTTCTTGAACATGCAGTTCCCTCAAATTCTCCTCATCCATTCTTCTCCCCTCTCCTTCCCTTCTGCCTTCCTTTATTCCCCTAGACTCATGCTTCCATTTTTATCAGGAGATCTTGTCTATTTCCCCTTCCAGGGTTATATATATATATATATATATATATATATATATATATATATATATACATGAATACACACATATTTCTAGTTCTACCATTAAAATGCAAATTTCAATATGTCATTGTTTTTTATGGCTGAGTAGTATTTCATTATGTAAATGTATCACATTTTCTTTATCCATATTTCAGTTGAGGAGCATGTAGGTTATTTCCAGGTTTTGCCTATTACGAATAATGCAGCTATTAACATAGTTTAACAAATGTCTTTGTAGTATGGTTGAGCATTATTTGGGTATATGCCCAAGAGTAGTGATGCTGGGTCTTGTGGTAGGTTGATTCACAATTTTCTGAGAAACCGCCATACTGATTTCCAGAGTGGTTGTACAAGTTTACATTCCCAGCAGAAATGGACAAGTGTTTCCCTTACTCTGCATCCTCACCAGCATAAGCAATTATTGGTGTTTATGATCTTAGCCATTCTGACCAGTGTAAGATGGTTTTGATTTGCATTTTCCTGATGGCTAAGGACATTGAAAATTTCCTTAAGCGTCTTTCAACTATTTGAGATTCTTCTGTTGAGAATTCAATGTTTAGTTCTGTACCCCATTTTTAACCATATTATGTGATATTTTGATATCTAATTTTTTGAGTTCATTATGTATTCTGGAGATCAGTACTCTGATGTGCGATTGATAAAGATCTTTCACTGTTCAGTAGGCTGGCTTTTTGTTTTATTGACTCCTTTGCTTTAGAGAAGCTTCTCAGTTTCAGAGGTCCATTTTATTTAGTTTTTATCTCATTGTCTGTGTTCATGATGTTATATTTATATTTGGGAAGTGATCTCATATACCCATGCATTGAAGGTTAATTCCCACTTTCTATTCTGTCAGGTTTAGTGTATTCAGATTTATATTGAGGTCTTTAATCCATTTGGACTTGAGTTTTGTGCATGGTGGTAGGTATGAATCTGTTGAAGGAGAGAAGGCCTGCTTTTGATCCTGGCCACCTGGCTAGCACACACCCAAAATAACCACCCAGATTTGTATTAATTAAATCACTGCCTGGCCCATAATCTCTAGCCTCTTATTGGCTAACTCTCCCATCTTGATTTAACCCATTTCTAATAATCTGTTTATTACCACGAGGTTGTGTCTTATCGGAAAAGATTCAGCATGTCTGACTTGGCGTCTTCATGGCGGCTTTCTCTCTGACTCTGCTTTCTTCCTCCCAGAATTCAGTTCTGTCTCCTTACCTACCTAAGTTCTGCCCTATCAGGCCAAGCAGTTTCTTTATTGATTAACCAATGAAAGCAACACATAAACTGAAAGACCTCCTACACCATTTTCCCTTTTCTGTTTAAAAGGGAAATTAGGCTTTAACTTTAACATACAAATTACATATAACAAAACAGGTATCAAATAAGAATTACAGTTATAGTATTTATATTTACTTTATCTTTTATTATAACTAAGGAGAACTATAAATTCTTCTACTCCATCAAAGACTCCAGAAGGATGTAATATTACCTAAGTAAACAGGAAGTGCATTATAAACAACTTCCAAAACTCTAGAATTGACTGAGACATCTCGCTGCCTGGACATTCACCCAAAGTTCTCCTGTACTGTTGGGGCATCCATCTTCAGCCCACAGGCCCATAGTATCCAGCAGACATTTCCATAAAGCCGTAAAATTTAAAGACAGTTCAAGTCACTTTCTTTTGTGTCCTGCAGAATGTCTCGCAGACTCTTTCATGAAGCAGGAACCCCAAAGGATCATCTCACCTTTAGGCAAGTTCAGCAGTCATCTCTCTGTGGGTACTTTATGTCCAGTGAAGCAGTTCAGGCAAGAGCAGTTTCCTGCCCAAATGGATAACCAACTCCATGAGGAGCCTCTTTGATGCCCATCTTCCTCAGGAAGTAGCTTAGTGCTGCCAGGAGCAGACATGTCTCACTGTCATAAAAAGTCCTAAGTTATTAAAACATTTTAAATGCCATATTCTGTAGTCTTTGAAAGATATGAAGAATGTCTATCTATCTGAAATGCACATCTAGAAAATCTAACAACAAACTTGACTATTATAGAGATTATCTATTAACTTATATTTCTTAATTATCTATTACATTAATAAATGAGCTACACAATCACAATACCTTAATCAAGATCACAAATACATATAACAAAATTGACCTTAAATTTGTATACATAAATCAAAATTTATACCAGTGTAAATTATTCATATCTATATCATATCCCTTTTTAAATGTAAAAGAGCATTTATAAACAATATTTGGGAATATGGGCATAGTTTTTTCTCTCCAAATTGCTTCATGCTGTATGGGGGCACTGTTAATCAGATCTTTTATTGTATATCATGAGTGCTAGCAGTTGGATGAAACAATTTTTTGACGGTGTTCATAGCAACCTTTCAGGAGGCCTTGGTCCATAAAACCATATTGGTGTAGAAGCAATCCACAGGTTCTCACCTTCTGTGAAAACAAAAGAAGAACCTCTTTTCCAAAGCACCATATTCTTAGACCCAGATTTGAAAGTCATGATACCTTTATAATATACATGCTGGATTAGCTTAGCAGCACATACAATGAAAAGTCTCTCTGTACTTAGTTCCTTCACAGTCAAAAAATTTAAAGAAAACACAATGATATATAGAATCCAGACTCTGTAAATTTTCCATTTTATGTGTCTTATTTTTTTTACTTCCTTTAATCTATGATTATCTGTACTCTGTCGCTTAAAAGACTTTACCCTTTTTTAAAAAGCATTAACTTTATTTTATGACTCTGTATACTCTATAAGCCCTCATAAGCCCCTCTTCTATCCAGAAGGGAATATTTAAAACTTCAGTTTTCTACAGGTATTTTGTGTCTGTTGGTTTAAAGTTCATATTTTATTGACTGTCATATCCAGAACATAGCATTTATATTTACTCCTCCAAACCCTCTTGCTCCTTTGTGCTTTCCCATATCTCTCTCGCAAGGTTCCCTCGTCTTTGGAGGTAATATAGATGTCTCACATAGGTATGAGCTTTCCAGATCTGTTTCCAAAATCACTTTCTCTGTGACACGAGGCTTTTTCAAGATAATCTAAGTGTAGATTAATAAGTTATAGAACAACCCCAAATGCTGAATATACCCATTGTGAAAATACCTATGTATTCTTTTAAAGCAAGGTTGCTACAACACATGGCAACATCAGGGTATACAAGAAGAGTCACAGTGAGGGCTTAGCATGCATAGTATAGAAGAAAGCAAAGGCCTTGAACCAAACAAGTGACTTTTTACAATAAACACTTGCAATCAATGTTGTAGTTTCTGATACTGTGAATTGACCAAAAATAATGATATTAGATCATGTCTTATTAAATTTACTGCTCTTATTAGAAACTAATATCATTTAGTTTAAAATAGAAATCAGTATTAAACCAACTAATGATAAATCAAGGGAAAAATGCACATTGATGAAAACTATAGCTGTATTATAGTATCCACAGTGTTTAAAAATCAGTAAAACTATGAAGGACTGCAGTAATAATGTGAGAGGAGAAGGTTGGAAGGTGGCAGAGAAAATAATTTAGGAATGAGAGTAAATTATACAGATTTTAACTGGAAGAGTGGAAGAAAATTGTTTACTACAGAAACATACAGAAAAAAACATAAAACCTAGTAAAACAATATGAAACATAAAAGAAAATAATTACGATGTAGTTAACTGAGAGTGGGTATGTTCAAGAACTAGAATGTGAGAAAGACAAGAAGGAACTGTATAATGAGTAATATAACTACACTGTCAAACAGGGCATGTCCTTGGTGGTTTGTCCTTTTCTTCCTATCTTCCCCATGAGATTTCTTGTAGAAAAATATATGAAGGGCAAGGTGCAGTTTGTAATGTTAGCTCTAATGTAGAAAAATCAAATTTATGGGACTGCTGTTCCCAGAGTTGTTGAATCAACATTTTTTTTTGTTTCCTTAGTAAATTTTGATGAGTAACTTATTGTACTTTAGGTCTCATACTCATACTGTGTTCTTGAAGCAATGATGGAGCCTTGTAGCTTCAGGGGAGCGTCAGCTTTGGACGTCAGCTGATTCGAGTCATGCATCAGCTGTGCAGTCTACCTCATTTGTCCTTTATTAATCTGCCCACAGTGTTCCCAATACTTATTAAGGCATTAGAAGTCAGTGTCTTCCCAGCTTGCCACACACAGGTATCAGCTCTATCATGCATGGCCTTTCCCACTGTTGTCATTGAAGTATTTTGCAGTAAGAATATCTGCTTAATTCTTGGATATGACAATTCTATCCCTGGCTCCACATCTTACTTTTAGCATATTTTCATTTGACAGCTCTTCATGCATGCATGGTTGCAACTTTACAGCTCATGTTTATTTAACATGTGATTCCGAAAGAGACAGTTTGCAATAATAATAGATGCCATTAAATGGTGAAGGCTGGAACTTCACATGAAGATAGTCTGGCTCCCATTCACATACCCCTTTTCTGCCTGTACATCTACAGCTTAAGTTTGTCCTTGGCTTAATATTTTCAGCACAAAGATTTTTAGTGTAGACTATATTTTGGAGCATGTCTTTTAGAATAATGCTAATCAAGAACACTTAAAGTTTTGAAATAAATTCCTATATCCTTAGTCTAAGTAATGAAATTTGTACCTGGGATCTTGATAAATCTTTTCTTTCATGACAGGGAATCTTGACATTCCGGGATGTGGCAATTGATTTCTCTCCAGATGAGTGGGACTGCCTCGACTTTGCACAGAGGGCTTTGTACAGGGAAATCATGTTGGGGAACTACAGTAACATGGTCTCTGTGGGTGAGATTTCTTTCTTTCATGATTCCTTCTTTATCATAATTGTTTCCTACAAGTGTGTTTTACATCTATGTCTGAATTGTCTGCCTCACTTTCATATGTCAGTTTAATAAAAATCTTAGAGTTCATCATTTAGAACACAATGATTTGTGTAACTTTATCTTGTCAATATACTCCTGACTCCTGGAGATGGCATTCATCATTCAAACATTTATAATACATTTTACTTTTCAGAAACACCATAGATTATATATTGATTTGTAACTTAATGATTCACAACATATTTGCATTTAGATTCAGTAGTAATTTACAAAGAAACTCAAAGTGCAGAACATTTAAAAAGTGCTTTTGAGTATTTTAAAATATAGGGTGATAGCAACTAGGTAATCATATTTCGAATTTTATGTTACATGCCATCTTATATAGTATTGTGGTTCATTAGAAACCCAAGTGTTTTACTATTATTCCAAGTTTGCTCATGTGTCTCTTCCAATATTCAGGTATTTCAGTGTCAAAACCAGACCTGATCAGCTCCCTTGAACAAAGCAAAGAGCCCTGGAATGTGAACACAGGAAAGAAAGAAGGCAATGAAAAAGGTAAGCCACAACAAAGTATTTTCACATGGAGGAATTCTGTTGTGAAGTAGGGTTTGCAAAGATCTTTACCTGAAATGGTATAAAACTTCACAGTGAATAATTGTCCCAAATTACTTTATAAGCCTCATTCACATGAAATGACCTAAAAATTCACTTTGAATACTTAAATTATGGTATAAATCAGAAGTAATATGATTTGTTGTCATATCCTCAAATGCCACCAGGCCCTGAAATGAACAATATTGAGATGAAAATTAGCATAAAAACTTGTCATGCTGTTTCAAAGAATATTTCTCTGTTTAAGTTCATGTGTGTTTGTTTGCACTCATGATAGTATTACATGGTTTTCACTATTGTGTAGTATCACATAAAATCAGAAAATACAAATTTTATTGTTAAACTCATTTTGGAAAATTGTAGAATTTGTACTTTATGTTAGAATCTACAGAATTTAAAAGATAACTTTTTCTACTTCTGCAAAATATTCTTTAGAAACTAAGAGTTGTTTATCCATACATGTTATTGGTCTATTTTAATATCATCTGAAAATCTCTTAATATCAAAATTTATAATGTTACTTTCCACATAAAGGTTGTGTTTTCTTTTGTGTTTCATCTCTACCTATATTTGAGTTTTCTTGGAGAAGTAAATTTGTATATACTTTTATTATTCATATATACTTTTATTATTTTGAATGCCTCACAATGACTTTCGATCATATTCAGCTTCCCAACTCTTCCCATGTTCTGCTTCCTCCAGATATCTTTGATTTTTTTCTCATCTTTATTTATACTCAGAGTTCGATCTGTAATTTCCATACAATCCTGGGTGTGGAGAATGGCCTGCATATGGTTGAAGTATCAGGAGTTGCACATTTTTGACTTAATGCCCTTTCTTAGTTGGTAGAGCATGAGACTCTTAATTTTAGGGTCTATGGTTTGTGTCCCATGTTGGGCGCCAGATGAAGGATACTCAAAAGAAATCCCACACTAGCTCAGAATTAAGAATAATAGATGTTTAATTATTTAGGGATAGACTCACAAATCAGAATCCTCTGCTGGAATGAAGAACAGCAACCGAGGCCAGAAGCACTCTTTACATCTGCAAAAATAGTATAAGAGGCCACGCCCAAGTGGGTGGGTAACTAAAGGCTACTGGCTGTGGGATTTCCTACAGCAGATATCTTTGATTTTTTTCTCATCTTTATTTATACTGAGTTCAGTCTGTAATTCCCATACAGTCCTGGGTATTGAATATGACTTGCAATATGGTTGAACTATCAGGAATTATACATTTTTAAAATAAACTTTATGCCCTTTCTCCAAACATCTTTCAGATGATAGGAACTTCCCAGCAAATTTTACGTCTTCAAATCCCCTCAGGCTTTCTTCTTAGAATTTTAATCTGGCTTAAGCTTGCTTGGGCTGATGCATGCTTTCCTAATCACCTGAGTTCATATGGGCAACTGTCATGTAGTATAGAAAGCACTACTATTTTTATAGTCATTCATGCCTTCCTGGCCTTAACATTATCACTCTGTCCTGAATGAGCTCTGAACATTCCATGGAATGGGTTTGACATAAACATACTAGTTAGAACTAAAAGATTTCTTATTGTTTGTCCCATGTCCACCTGTGAGTCAATTTTAGTTATCAAAATTCACCAGAAGCAATGGGAATGAAGGACTAGAGATGTAAATCTCTGTGGGTAAACCAATAAGACATCAGGAATAATTAAATACTGTATCCAAGCAGCAGAATAATGGTAGTAGGAGGTACTTTTTATCTCTTAATAATTCTTCTTGACTTAGCATGAGCATTCCTCAAACTATTTTACAAAATTAAAGCAGCAGAACACTGAATTCTTTTGTGAAGATAGTTACCCTGATACCTAAACCATATATACACACAAAAAGTAACTGAAAGATATGCCAATTTCATTGAAAACATTTATGAAAGTCCTCAATAAAATATTTTTCTTAATTTTTTTTTATTGCGAAAAGAAGAAAAAAAAACATAAACAAAAAACAAGTTTCCACCTCCTCCCAGCCTCCCATTTCCCTTCCCCTCCTCCCACCCTTCTCCCCCTCCTCCCACCCTTCTCCCCCTCCTCCCACCCTTCTCCCCCTCCCCCACTCCTCTCCCCCCCCTCCCTCTCCAGTCCACAGAGCAGTCCCCCTGTGGTAAGTCCTAGGTCCTCCCCCCTCCGTCCATATCTAGGAAGGTGAACATCCAAACTGGCTAGGCTCCCACAAAGCCAGCACATTAAGTAGGATCAAAACCCCCTGCCATTGTCCTTGGTGTCTCATCAGCCCTCATTGTTCGCCATGTTCAGAGAGTCCGGTTTTATCCCATGCTTTTTCGGTCACAGTCCAGCTGGCCTTGGTGTGCTCCCCTTAGATCAGCTCCACTGTCTCAGTGGGTGGATGCATGCCTCGTGGTCCCGAATTCTTTGCTCATGTTCTCCCTCCTTCTGCTCCTCCTTGGGACCTTGGGAGCTCAGTCCAGTGCTCCTGTGTGGGTCTCTGTCTCTATCTCTATCCATCACCAGATGAAGATTCTATGATGATATGCAAGATATTCGTCAGTATTGCTCTAGGATAGGGTCATTTCAGGTTCCCAATCCTCAGCTGCCCAAGGAACTAACTGGGAACCTCATCTTGGGCACTAGGGAGCCCCTCTAGGGTCAAGTCTCTTGCCCACCCTAAACTGGCTCCCTTAAGTAAGAATTGTGGTTCCGTGCTCCCCTATCCACCTTTCCTTTATCCCAATTCTCCTGTTTCCCAGGTCCCCCCTCCTTCCCTTCTACCTTTTCTCTCCCCATCTCCCTTTACCCCCATCCCACCCCATCCCCAAGATCCCATTTTCTCCCCGGAAATTTGGTCTACTTCCCTTAGCCAAGAGGACAACTATATGTTTTTCCTTGGGTTCACCTTCTTACTTAGCTTCTTTAGGTTCACCTCTTGTAGACTCCGTGGCCCTTATTTATGGCTAGAAACCAATTATGAGTGAGTACATCCCATATTCATCTTTTTGGGTCTGGGACACCTCACTCAGGATAGTATTTTCTATTTCCATCCATTTGCATGCAAAATTCGAGAAGTCATTGTTTTTTACCGCAGCGTAGTACTCTAGCGTGTATATATTCCATACTTTCTTCATCCATTCTTCCATTGAAGGGCATCTAGGTTGTTTCCAGGTTCTGGCTATTACAAATAATACTGCTATGAACATAGTTGAACAAATGCTTTTGTCATTTGATAAAGCATCTCTTGGGTATATTCCCAAGAGTGGTATTGCTGGGTCCAGGGGTAAGTTGATCCCGAATTTCCTGAGAAACCGAAACACTGACTTCCACAGTGGTTGCACAAGATTGCATTCCCACCAGCAATGGATGAGGGTACCCGTTCCTCCACAGCCTCTCCAGCAAAGGTTATCCTTGGTGTTTTTGACTTTAGCCATTCTGACAGGTGTAAGATGATATCTCAAAGTTGTTTTGATTTACATTTCCCTGATTGCTAAGGAAGTTGAACACGACCTTAAGTGTCTTTTGGCCATTTGAACTTCTTCTGTTGAGAATTCTCTGTTCAGTTCAGTGCCCCATTTTTTAATTGGGTTAATTAGCATTTTAAAGTCTAGTTTCTTGAGTTCTCTATATATTTTGGAGATCAGACCTTTGTCTGTTGTGGGGTTGGTGAAAATCTTCTCCCAGTCAGTAGGTTGCCTTTGTGTCTTAGTGACCATGTCCTTTGCTTTATAGAAGCTTCTCAGTTTAAGTAGGTCCCATTTATTCAATGTTGCCCTTAATGTCTGTGCTCCTGGGGTTATACATAGGAAGCGATCTCCTGTGCCCATCTGTTGTAGGGTATTTCCCACTTTCTCTTCTATCAGGTTCAGTGTGTTCGGGCTGATTTGAGGTCTTTAATCCATTTGGACTTGAGTTTTGTGCACGGTGAGAGATATGGGTCTATTTTTATTCTTCTACAGGTTGACATCCAGTTGTGCCAGCACCATTTGTTGAAGATGCTTTCTTTCTTCCATTGTATACTTTTAGCTCCTTTATCGAAAATGAGGTGTTCATAGGTTTGTGGGATAAAATCCGGGTCTTCTATACGATTCCATTGGTCGACTTCTCTGTTTTTATGCCAATACCACACTGTTTTCATTACTGTAGCTCTGTAATAGAGTTTGAAGTTAGGGATGGTAATGCCTCCAGAAGATCCTTTATTGTATAAGATTGTTTTGGCTATCCTGGGTTTTTTGTTTTTCCATATAAAGTTGATTATTGTCTTCTCCAGATCTGTGAAGAATTTTGATGGGATCTTGATGGGGATTGCATTGAATCTATAAATTGCTTTAAGTAGAATTGCCATTTTTACTATGTTGATCCTTCCAATCCAATAGCAAGGGAGGTCCATCCATTTTTTTGGTATCCTCTTTAATTTCTTTCTTCAATGCCTTACAGTTCTTGTCAAATAGATCTTTCACTTCCTTGGTTAGATTTACCCCAAGATATTTTATGCTGTTTGTGGCTATCGTGAATGGTGAAGCTTCTCTGATTTCCCTCTCTGCTTCCATATACTTTGTGTATAAGAGGGCGACTGATTTTTTGGAGTTGATCTTGTATCCTGCCACATTACTAAAGCTGTTTATCAGCTGTATAAGTTCTTTGGTGGAGTTTTGGGGGTCGCTTATGTACACTATCATATCATCTGCAAATAACGAAAGTTTAACTTCTTCCTTTCCAATTCGAATCCCCTTGATCCCATTATGTTGTCTTATTGCTATTGCTAGAACTTCAAGCACTATATTGAAGAGGTATGGCGAGAGTGGACAGCCTAGCCGTGTTCCTGAGTTAAGTGGGATGGCTTTGAGTTTCTCTCCGTTTAATTTGATGTTAGCTGTCGGCTTGCTGTATATAGCTTTTATTATATTTAGGTATGACCCTTGTATCCCTAATCTCTCCAAGACTTTTAACATAAATGGATGTTGAATTTTGTC